GATCATTTTGATTATATAAAATTAAAACATTTTTGCACTAACAAAACCAATGCAACCAAAATTATAAGGAAAGCAGAAAACTGGGGGAAATTTTTGCAACAAATATCTCTGATAAAGGCTTCATTTCTCAAACATATAGAGAACTGAGTCAAATTTATAAAAATACAAGTCATTCCCCAATTGACATATGGTGAAAGATATGAACAGGCAGTTTTCAGACAAAGAAATCAAAGCCATCTATAGATAGTCATGTGTAAAAATGCTCTAAAACACTACTGATCAGAGAAATGCAAATTAAAACAAGTCTGAGGTACCACTTTACACCTATCAGATCGGCTAATATGACAAAAAAAGGAAAATGATAGACTAAGGGGTTATGGGAAAACTGGGATACTAATGTACTTTGTGCACTGATCCAACCATTCTGGAGAACAATTTGGAACTATGCCCAAAGGACTATCAAACTGTCCATACCCTTTGATCCAGCAATACCACCGTTAGATCTATATCCCAAAGACATCCAAAAAAAGGGAAAAGGACCTACTTGTACAAAAATATTTAGAGAACCTCTTCTTGTGGCTAAGAATTGGCAATCAAAGGAATGCCCATCAATTGGGGAATGGCTAAACAAGCTGTGGTATGTGACTGTAATTGAATATTGTACTGTAAGAAATGACAAGCAGGATGGTTTTAGAAAGACTTACACGAACTGATACATAGTGAAATGAACTGAAATGAACCAGGAGAATGTTGTACACAGTAACAGCAATACTGTTTGATGAAGAACTGTGAATGACTTAGCTATTCTCAGCAATACAATGAACCAATACAATCTCAAAGGACTAATGATGAAGCATACTATCCACCTCTAGAGGAAGAATTGATATTGATTGGACACAGACCAAAGCATGCTATTTCTCTTTTTATTTTGAATCTTCCTGTACAAATGACCAATATGGTAATGTTTTACATAATCACACATGTATAACCTATATCTGACTGCTTACCATCTCAGGAAGGAGGGAAGGGAAGGAGGGAGAGAAGGATATAATTTGGAACTCAAAACTTTAAATAAAAATGTTTTAAAAATTGGAAAATAAGATAAGTACAGAAGATAGCTGCTTGAGAAAGGAAGGCATGCTAATAAGTAGAGTGTTAATTATGGAAGTGACAGTGCAAGGAAGAAAAGAATTTTGAAGAGGGAGTATGGCTTATGCAAAAGCACAGAAACCAGAGGTGAGGAATGGGGAGTAGTAAAGTTCTTAGGGAAGGCAGGGCCAATAAGGTGAATAATGTAAAAGAAGTCTGCAAAGACAGGTTGTAGACAAATTTTGGAGGACTTTAGATGTCAGGCTAAAATCATTTTTATTTTATCCTAGAGGCAGTAACATGAAATACAAATTTCCTCCTCATGAGAACTATTTCCCTTTGTGGGAAAAACAATTAGAGGAGTTTAATATATTTTTGTGATTATGTTAGCAAATACTAAACAAATCTTGCCATAGGTTGGGCTCCAACCTGTCTGGAGGTCTTGGTCTCCGCTCTAAAATGAGGAGTTTGGATTAAGTAACAATGCCTGGTGCACAGTAAGTGCCTAATTATGCACTTTAGGCCTTCAAGAGTTGATCAGTTCCTCTTGCTGAGATTACTGGGAACAGAGCCTTTAGGACTTGGATTATGTCTTCCTATAGTGTGTGTGAACTCATTCATTCATCCCTTTGAGATTAACTGGGACCTTTCTTAGGACCGTATACTTGCTGACCACTTTATATAGCATTAAGCATGAGTGACTCAACCTTAGTTTCTCAAAGATTATTTGAATGGCTCAGGCTATTCTGGAACCACCTCTCAATGTAAATACTCTCAAGAAGTCTCAATCAGTCCCAAACAAAGGCTTACTTGTTTTCCTTCCTATGACCTCATTAAATTAATTTCTCCCTAGATTAACCTAACACAGACTTTCAAGGTCTACTTTAGCTTTAAGACTCTGATACTTATTCAAAGGTCATGGAGAGGAAAAAGTAACAGTCTTTTTGGGTCAACGTTACAGCACTAATTTACTAGGAAATAAGTTTTCTTTAGAAGTGTTCTTAATGAAGTTTAATTAAAAAAAATAATGCTAGACCAGAGGTTCGTAACCTGGCATTCAAGAACTTTAAAAAAATATATATATTTCTTGATAACTATTTCAGTAACTGATTTCCTTTGTAATTCTATGCATTTTATTTTACGGATTTAAACACAGTTCTGAGAAGGGGATCCCAGTCTTTGCCAGACTGCCAATGAGGTCCAGGACACAAAAAAGGTTAAGATCCCTTGTACTAGACAACATATGATCTAATTAAATTTAATTCAACAAACATTAAGTGCCTACTGTATGGAAGGTACTGGTAACACAAAGGTGAAAATGGCAATGGCTGCTTCCTCGTGAGTTTATGGTCTCATAATTATACACCAACCAATACTTCCCAAATTTTCTCCTCGGTCATCTTCTTAGATTTCACAGATAATCTATATGGTACCTACTGAGCATTGTGCGCTGTTGATTTACACACACAATCTCTCCACGTTATTGTCATCTTTTTGGCATTCAGAATCTTTTACAAGGATTCTCACAATATATTTTAAAAGAGGAAAATAAGCAAGGATCAGCAATTTCCTCAAGTGTAGGGATCTTCCTCTATCTAGTATGTAAATCATAAAAAGGTTAAGTGATTTGCCCAAGCTTATACCAGTACAACCACGAAATGTCCAAGGTGGGCTATGAACCCAAATCTTCCTAAGAGCTTCCAAGTCTACCCCTATGGCTGCCACATCTTCATTGTATAAATATTGAACTAAAAACAGAAAGACCTCCCTCCACTGACAATCCTACTGCAGGAACAAGAACAGGATTCCACCCAGTTTAGTCAACTGGAAGCTAATTTCTCTTCTGAGCATTTCTAAAATCTCCCAGGGAGCCCTATTTGTGGCCTGAGACCATGAAGAATCTTCCCTGGAGTCCAGTCAGATGCAGCAGCTGTCCTTGGGCATGCCAAGTTCAGAACTATTTCAAGTTCCTCTTCTCCTACTTCTTATTAAACACTATAGTCCAACACTATTTGCCTCAAGAAAATATAGTGCATACAGGTGTATTTAATAAAGGTCTGTTGCACTGAATAATCCTAATAGATCTAATTTCTCTGGCTAACAGATAAAAATGTGGCACTTTCAATACTAAAAATATTTTTTATATGAAGACAGCCAACAATGGTCATTTTCTTTTTCCACTGCTTCCTAGACCTCAGACTAGTCTGATTGCAGTTTTTTCTACCATACAAGAATCAGTAATCCTCATTTCCTTTCTGTTTAAGTCATTAAAACCTCTTTTTTTTTAACAGACAGGCAGGAACAATGCAGTTATTGTCAATCCCTGAAAGAACTTGACAAACAATTCTCAATGTGATGGGTGGGAAAGTTTTTAATAGAAAACAATAGAAACAAAGTTTTAAAGTCATACCAGGTTCTCAGTAGCTTGCAACTACTCCTAAACTGTTGCCAGATGTACGATGGAAAAGGGCTGGAGGAAGGATCACCAGACAGTAGGGGATAGAACTGTAGGTTTGGAAACACAAAGGTAAACCAGGGACTTCAGGAGAGCCCAGGAACTGGAGAGGCAGGCACAGAGTGAGTAGGAAAGGATTTAACAGGAGCTCAAATTAAAGACACTGAGAACAGTCCAGTGTGATTTGCCAAGGGAGGGCATCTAAGAGGCAGAAAAAGGGTCACATACAGGATTCAGTGGGCTGTTGTTCCGTACTTCATTTAGTGTGTAATGCTTGTCTAGTGGAAAGGGGATGGGGGGGGTATATGCTGCATATACGCTGTGCACAAATCTAACTGGTGGATTAGAAAAGGGGGTCAGAAAAGGTGACAACCAACTATGAATGCTGACGGAAACGTGTAGCCAGAAGGAATATGTGAAAAAAATAAAAGTGGTGGGAGAAGGTAGGAGGGGAAGGGGAGTGACTGTGATTTGAAAAACTATGGAGAAAGAGGCCAGAATAGGAAGGGTTCTAGGGATCCTTAGCGCCCCAAGGATAAAGTCAAGTGCCGAACACAGTCCTCAACAGTGAGCACTCCCACGTCGAGATTACTTAGTTTTTATTTGTTTGTACGTTTCGCTTCCTTCTCAGTGTACGTGTTATCTTCTCCCCACCCCTCCCCCTTCCACCTTAAGGACTGGGACAGCTTTTATTATTTTTGTGTGGGGCACAAAAGCAGCCACTTAATACAAAAAATTCGGGGTGAAAGGAACTCAACACTACTCTGGCGTAATGGTAGGAGGGAGGGATTCATCTCTGTAAACATTTTTTAAAAGCATCCTGTGTGCAAAGGTCTAGCACTGGCCCAAGTGCCTGGCACATAACTCCTATACTCGGAGCTTAATAAATGCCGGTTGATTCATTCACTTGGTCCAGCAACAAGAGCTCAAGTCAGCTAGCATTTATTAAGCTCTTACTGTGTGCCAGGCACTGCGCTAAAACGACAGGGATACAAAGATAGCCAAAAACAGCCCCAGCCCTACGGAACCTCGTTATCTAAGGGGTCAAACGACCCGAATTCGAATTCTCCGGCCACGGGCGCTAGCTTCGTGACCTTGGGAGACTCACTTTTTTCACTCTGAGCCTCAGTTTCTCCATCTGTAAAAATGATGGAGACTTGGCAAACTAAGAAGCCTGAGCGCAGGGGTTGGGCATTCAAGGGGCGCAGGGAGAGGACAGAGGTGCTGCCGGAGGAGTGGAGCCCAGCCAAGCTGGGGCGGGGGAGAGAAGGGGAAGGTAGGAGGGGAAGAAGGGAGAGGGAGGGGGGAGGGGAAAAAGGGGGGGAGGATCTCCCGCCGAGCGCGGGGGAAGGTGAGAAGGGGGTGCCGCCGCCGCCGCCGCGGCCCGGAGAGCCAAGCCCTGCCCTGCCCCTCAGGCCCCGGCCCCAGTCCCCCCACCCCCGGCCAATGCCCTGACCTCATCCACGGCGCGTCGAGGAAGATGCAGCGTCCCGAGCAGCAGCTTCAGCTTCACGGCAGACGAGAGGTTGTGGAAGCAGAGACGTATGTTGTCGATGACCGTGGCCGTGAGCAGCGACGCGATGCTCGGCGGCGCCCACAGTTCGTCCGTCGCCCCCAACTTGTTGTGCAGCCACAGGCCGGTGTCGCTCTCCCGCATGGACGCCATCTTGGGGGAGAAAAGAGGGGGGAAGCGCTCCGCCGGCATCTTATGGAGACACCTACACGCCCGGAGCGAGGACCCCGCAACATGGCGGCGCCCGCCCGAAGGCAGGCGGGCCGACCGAGGGCGAGGCCGGGGTGACGTCACGTCTCACGGCCGTACCTGCGTCCTATTGGATCGGAGCTCTAGAGGACTGCGGCCGCCGATGGGAGGGAAAGGCAATAGGGGAGGCGCCGTTCCGTAACAGGACATGGCAGCGCCCGCCCTCTCCGTCGGACGGAGTTTTGTCCGTAACTAAAGATGGCGGCTCCCGCGTCCCCATTGGGCGTCCCTGGGAAGTCGCCAGGTTGCCTGCGCTGTCCGTAGGGAAATTAGTCCCGAGGGAATTTGTGCGGGGCTGGGGGAGGGGGGCTGGACGGCCTCGAGGCCTCGAAAGAGGAGCGGCCGAGGGTGGGGTAGGGGCTGGAACTTCCTGCGGTTGGTCTAATAACGGTTCTGGAGGCCATGCAGCCCCTGGGGGTTAACGGATCTTGGCGAGGGGAGCGGCCCCCAAGGCCGACCCATGCACGCACCTAGGCAGATGTGGCTCCCAGTGTAGACAGGCACGTTAGTTTACACACGCGCGTGTGGAGTGGAACTGAAGCTTGGATTTCATTGACATTGGCAACTCCCAGTGAGAAAACCTCCTTTGCCAGTGTAGATCACACTTAAGCGACTCAGCCACTCACGGTCCCAAAGGGTGACCTAGAAAGGAGCACCGAGGGCCACATAACCCCGGGGGTGCGTGGGAGGGGGGAAGTTGAACCCTGGTCTTGCTGACTTTGAGTCCAGGTCTCTAGTATTCCACGTTGCCTCTCAAACACAGACACAAATCATGCGTGTGTGTGCACACACTAACGTAATAAAAAGTAACTATTATTTATAAAGTTCTTTAAGATTTGCAAAGTGCTTTACAAATATCTGATTTGATCCCCATGACAACTCTGGGGAGGTAAGTGCTATGATTATTCGGGTTTTACAGATGGGGAACCTGAGGCCAAGGCTAACTTATTTGCCCAGGGACACAAGTAAGTGCCTGAGCTGGGATGCAAACTCAGATCTTATGTCTAAGACCAGTATACTCTCCTTTGGGTGCTTATGTTTTATATATACTATATATATTTGTATATATGCTATATAAGTGCATATACATATGTGTATGTGTACTGGCTCTAGCACATGATATAAATGAAATATACGTGTAAATATGGGAGATGTACGCTCACACTCTACATGATATTAACAGTGAAATATACACATAAATATGGGAGATGTACGCTCACACAGGGCACATGACATAAACAGTGAAATATACACATATATATAGGAAATATGCATCTACAAATAGCACATGATACAAACAGTGAAATAGACATGAATATAGGGGATGTTCACCCACATAAATACATTACACTGGCAAACAATACACAGAGAACTATGCGTATGTTTGTGCATGCTCATTCACGTACCACACATATTCATATAAAGTATAGGAACAATAACCCACAGAAAAAAATCTGCAATTTCAACCCCACCCCCACTGGCTGTCGGAAAGGGTACCGACCGGTCAAAGTGGTTATCTCCTCAACCCAGCTCCCTTTCTCCCTCTACTTCTACCCGCCCCAATTCTCTTTCTGTCCCATCATTCTTGGCTTCCTCTCCCCATTTTTCTTTATTAATTCGCCTTCCACTTCCCCTTATCTCAAATCTCTTCAGACTTATCTCCGCTCCCTTACCTAGGTTTCCCCTGACATTTCCCCAGCCAGGGGTGGGAACCTGTGGCCCTCAAGGCCACATGTGGCTCTCTAGGTCCTCAAGTGTGGCCCTTTGACTGAATCCAAATTTCACAGAATAAATCCCCATAATAGAAAGATTTGTTTTGTAAAACTTGGACTCAGTCAAAAGGCTGCACCCAAGGACCTAGAAAGTCACATGTGGCCTGGAGGCCTCAAGTTCCCCATCCTTGTGACTCTCCTTCCCTCTGTCTCCTCCTTCATTTTGCCTTCCTTCCTTTCTGATCCTCTCTTACCCACTCCTTTGAAGCATCCCTTCATACACATCACTTTTTTCTTGGGTTTCACCTTACTTTCTGAGCCTCCCTTCTGTTTTTTCTTCCTTTTCTTCTGCTATTTATTTGTTAGTTTGCTTCCAAGTCCCTTATGCCTTGACGTCCTCTCTACTACCTCCCCATCTACCCAACCCCACCCTTTAAAAAAAAAGGCAAAAAACTACTCCCAGAGCCAGTCATGAATGTGATGAAATCTGGGTGCAAGGGTGTGTTTCACATAAACAGAGGGAGGCTTCCCAGGAGGCTACCTTCTCTTCCTAGAAGCAGCTGTTAGTGGAAATGGCTCTTTGCCCTTCTCCGTTCAGGTTTCTCCCAGAAAAAAAGGCTAATTTTACTTTGATCTTCATTGGCCGGAAGGTTCATTAGAGGTTAACCATTGGACATGTCACACATTTTTCTCTTCTCTTTTTAACAGCATCATTGGATTTAAAGCTGGAAGGGACTTTAGAGACATCTGGACCAACCCTCTCCTTCCTTACACAGAGTAGAAAACATCACCAGAGAGGGGAAATCATTTGCCCAGACTCACATAGGTTATCAGGTCACAGAGCCAGGATTTAATACCAGGTCCTCTGATTCCAAACCCAGTGCTTTTATCACCCTATCATCTACGAATAGCACATGATACAAACAGTGAAATAGACATGAATATAGGGGATGTTCACCCACATACATACATTACACTGGTCTCAGTCCCGAAGGTGCAAGGATCATGCACATATTAGCTCCTCCTAAGCCCTTACTCCCATTCCAAATCCTCTCATACTCTTCCTTAGCCCTCTAGAACAAGGCCAATGATCCTTGGATCCTCCTTGTCATCAAACTCCCCTGACCCCTGGAACTTTCTAATCAATCTTCCTTTCATATACTCACTTTAACAGATATCTGGATTTACCTAAAAGACAAAAAGGACCTGGAATACCTCACCACTTGTAGGGTAGGTGCCAAGAGAAACCTACGGTTAGCTTCAAAATACTTTATGGGTCCTCATCCACTCAAAACCAGAGCTTCCAAGCCTCCACTGATGTGTTTATGTGTAGTAATCAGAAGGCAGAGGGAACAATTATGCCAAATGCAAAGGCATTTAATGAAATAGCACAATAAGGAAAAAATAATAAAATATTTCCCCTATACTCTAGGGTAAATACATCCTATTATTTTATATTTACACATATATTTTACAAGAACATACACTTCGTCAGTGGGAAGAGTGGACACACATAGGAAACACATATCTAGAGGCACACAAGTAGAGGATACATGTGGTAAGAGCATGCGTGAATGGGACACATAGAAAGTGTATACTAAGGGTATACTTGTAGATGAGCAGTTTATGAATCTGGAGCTGCAAGGTCACTGATGTCTTATGGTGATACCATTGGGTGCTGTGTGTTTCTCTCAGATGCTACTCCACTGGACGCATAGTCCTTGTTAGATAATGCTGTCTGTCTCTTCTCTGCTTCCAGCTTCTAATCTTAGCTGAAGTCTTTGGCTAGATAGGGCTGCTATAGCACGGGAAAAGTGGGCTTTGCCATGCTCTTTTAGCCCAAACTGTGAAGCTGTTTTTATAGCTCTTTTAGAAAAGAAACAACCTTTGCCTCAAATACAGGACCAATTGAAATCTCTTTTTAAGACAAAAAAAAAACCTTTTAGCTCTTTAAAAAATTTAGAATAATCAATTTCTTTCTAGAATTTTGCCTAGAAGGGTTTCCATCTACAGCATTCTTTGCCCCATGTGTCAAGCTTGTTAGGACACAGCAAAATTAAGTAAAGGCCTGGATGTAGAATAGGAGGATTCTTCCAGTTAGGTTTAGTCTTTTCCTTGAATTGCATTTCCTGGTCCAGGGCTTGGATCTCTCTAAGAGTACTCATTCTAGTTTATGGTCATTCTCTAGCTCTCCTGATTTTAATTTCTGAAGGCTAACCTACACCTAATCACATTCCAGGTAGGAGCTTCCTAGCCAAAATAACTGGCCGAGGGCTCTGAGGCTCTAGGTTCCCTAGTTTCATTTTAGATGAATTGGAGGCGGGAAAAGTGGAAAGCATAAGATCAAAGCTAAACTCAGGGGCAAAGGCCATTGTCTCTCCTGCTAGCCTGGCTTTATTCCATTCATGACAGTTAATCCTGAAAAGGTTTTTGAGCTCATCCTTGGGCTTGAAACCACCTTTCCCAGAGGACCCTCCTTCCACTCCCTTTGGATTCCTGGGCCTGGTGGAATTGGATACTCTTTGCTCCCCACTGCCCGTCTCTCCTGCCATCCCTTAATGACCTCTCCTCTTTCAAGGCCCAGTTTGTATGCCTTCACCATCTTCTCCCTATCCTTGTTGCTGTCATTGAAAGATCTCCAGGTCATTCACCAAACTTTCTAAACAACAGACATGTCTACTTCACCATCTGCCTCCCCTTCCCCTCCAGCATTTGCCATCATCTTCAGGGACATCAGCTTTTGTATTGACCACTCCTATAGCTTACCTAAGCTCATGATTCTCCTCTTCCATTCCTCTTCAGCCACACTTAGACCTTATTGTCTCCTGGAATCAACTGAGGAACCCCTCCTCCCGCTTTTATCACAGACTTCTTCTAACACTCCTTCCATCTTGAGAAACAGTTTGGTATAGAGAGAGGATAAAATTCTGGACCGAGAGTTTAGAGGATCTGGATTCAGTGCCAGCCTCAGATACTTAATCCTGCACAAGTCACTTGACTGCTCAGTGCCTCAGTTTCCTCATATGTAAAATAGCATTAATGATATTTGGACTACCAATCTCATAGGGTTGTTGTGAGAAATGGTCCCAGTATTTGATGCTGCCCCCTGTAGACCTCCAGATCATGCTGCTTCCTTCTTTAAGTACTTGGTTCACTGTCTTCTGCTCCACTCCAATCCCTAATGTAACTGACTTTAGGTAATCTAGAACTTCCCACTATATCTAAGATGGGTGCTTGAGCTGATTGAGGTATGCTTATTATCTAAACTACCCTGTCATAAAACCCAGTTATCAGTGGCATTTCCAGAGTGAGTAGAATTGTGTCACAATCACCTACCCACTCACTTGTGAGCTCTTGCATAGCTCAGGTCATGCCTTATCTAAACTTAAACCTCCCCCAGAGCTGAGCATACTACTCTGCACACAGTGGGAGCTTTAAAATTTGTTGAGGTTGAAGTTTGTTGAATTTCTTATCTTCCCATGATTATAATTTCAGGAAGTTTCCCCAGGTCTTAGGGAGCTGCCATGAAAGACAGGGAGCCAGCCATGTTCCTGAGGGCCCTCCCTGGAGTGAACATTCCTGAAGACTCTAGATATTTGGATAATTTGAGACCTTAGTGCAGCTGTTCCATTAAATCACTGCTAATGGGAATACTGGTTACACTGGCTGAGACAGGAAAGGCACTGTGTACAATGGAGCTCATCCTGACAGCCCAGAAATAGATATGGGCTATGTGAGTGTTAAGAATTTGTGCCGTGAAATAATAAATAGCATCTATCTAAAACCTTCAGCAAGCATTATATGTAATGGGGACAGGCTAGAAACATTTCCAATAAGATCGGGGGTGAAACAAGGATGTCCATTATCACCACTGTTATTCAATATTGTACTGGAAACCTGAGCTTTAGCAATAAGAGAAGAAAAAGAAATTGAAGGCATTAGAATAGGCAAAGAAGAAACAAAACTATCACTCTTTGCAGATGACATGATGATATACTTAAAGAATCCTAGAGAATCAAGTAAAAAACTACTTGAAATAATAAACAACTTTAGCAAAGTTGCAGGCTATAAAATAAACCCACATAAATCATCAGCATTTCTATATATTACCAACAAAGCCCAACAGCAAGAGATAGAAAGAGAAATCCCATTTAAACTTACTGTAGACATTATAAAATATTTAGGAGTCTACCTCCTGAAACAAACCAGGAACTCTATGAACACAATTACAAAACACTTTTCACACTAATAAAATCAGATCTAAATAATTGGAAAAACATCAGTTGCTCATGAGTAGGCTGAGCTAATATAATAAAAATGACAATCCTACCTAAGCTAATTTACTTATTCAGTGCCATACCAATCAAACTACCAAGAAATTATTTTATAGAGTTAGAAAAAATAATAACAAGATTCATTTGGAAAAACAAAAGGTCCAGAATATCAAAGGAACTAATGAAAAGAAATGCAGGGGAAGGTGGCCTAGCAATTCCAGATCTTAAATTGTATTATAAAGCAGCAATCATCAAAACTACTTGGTACTGGCTAAGAAATAGGGAGGTGGATCAGTGGAATAGGTTAAATATGCAAGACACAGTAGTCAATGACTATAGTAATCTATTATTTGATAAACCCAAAGACCCCAGCTTCTGGGATAAGAACCCACTCTTTGAAAAAAACTGCTGGGAAAACTGGAAAAGAGTATGGCAGAAACTAGGCATAGACCCAAATCTCACACCATATACCAAAATAAAGTCAAAATGGGTTCATGACTTAGATATAAAGGCTGATACCATAAGTAAACTGGGAGAACAAGGAATAGTTTACCTATCAGATCTATGGAGAACAGAAGAATTCATGACCAAACAGTAGAGAACATTATGAAAAGCAAAATGGATAATTTAATTAATTAATTAATTAATAATAATTAATAATTAAATTGAAAAGTTTTTGCACAAACAAAGCCAATGCAACTAAGATTAGAAGGAAGGTAGAAAACTGGGAAAGAATTTTTATAACCAGTCTTTCTGATAAAGGCCTCATTTCTAAAATATATAGAGAATTAAGACAAATTTATAAGAACACAAGCCATTCCCCAATTGATAAATGGTCAAAGGATATGAACAGACAGTTCTCAGATGAAGAAATTAAAGCCATCTATAGTCATATGAAAAAATGCTCTAAATCATTATTGATTAGAGAAATGCAAATCAAAACAACTCTGAGGTACCACATCACACCTATCAGATTGGCCAACATGACAAAACAGGAAAATGATAAATGTTGGAGAAGATGTGGGAAAATTGGAACGCTAATACATTGTTGGTGGAGTTGTGAAATGATCCAACCATTTTGGAGAACAATTTGGAACTATGCCCAAAGGGCTACAAAAATGTGCATACCCTTTGATCCAGCAATAGCACTTCTAGGGCTATATCCCAAAGAGATCAAACAAATGGGAAAAGGACCCACATGTACAAAAATATTCATAGCAGCTCTTTTTGTGGTGGCAAAGAATTGGAAATTGAGAGGATGCCCATCAATTGGGGAATGGCTGAGCAAGTTGTGGTATATGAATGTAATGGAATACTATTGTGCTATAAGAAATGATGAACAGGCTGACTTCAGAAAAACCTGGAAAGACTTATATGGTCTGATGCTGAGTGAAGTGAGCAGAACCAAGAGGACTTTGTACACAATAACAGCCACGTTATGCAATGACTAATATTGTTAAACTGAACCCTTCTCAGCATTACAAGGATCTAAGACATCTCCAGAGGCCTCGGGATGGAAAATGCTGTCCACATCCAAAGAAAGAACTATGGAAGTCGAATCGTTATCACTTATTTTACCTTCTGTTGAGTTTTGTTTCATCTTTCTGATGGTTCCTTCTATTAGTTTTAATGTTTACTTACAACTTCACTAATGTGAAAATATGTTTAATGGGTATGCAAATGTAAAGCCTATATCAGATTGTGTGCAGTCTTGGGGAGGGTGGGGGGGAGGAAGGGGGAGAAAAATTTTCAACTCAAAAGCATATGGAAGTGATTGTTAATAAATCAAAATTAAAATAAAATTAAAAAAAAAAAGAATTTGTGCCATGGCATCAAATTCCAAGGAGGGCCCAGGCATCTTCAAATGCCCCAAGTTGGTTATGATCCCCAGAAAGAATAAAACTTGCCAAATACTGTTTTTCTTTTTGACATTTTCTCTTTTTCTTTTCCAGTGTTAATAGGATTTTACTGAGCCAATCTCTAACCTGAGAATGAAGAAACAGCAGGCCAGAGACAAATTGCCAGTAATCAGGTAGCCGTTTAATGAATTAGTTTCATTATAAGGAATAGATTTGCAAATCAGGAATTCTCCTGATCAGGACTCTACATTGCTGAAGTGAAGACAGAGGTTACATACATAAATCACAAGTGGAAAGGGAGGGGAGAAGGTGAATTACAAACAATGTTTTCCCAGGCTGGAGCGGTTTCCCATGACAAACCCACAAATAGAAGACGGTACAACAATTCTGGAGTCCTATGGGAGCAACATTGCTTGAGTCCTTGGGGGCTGTTACTTGGTGGGTCACAGGGCCAGAGTTCTGTGATGGGAACAGTCTTTGATTCACTTCCCTTCAGGTACGTAGGCACAAGGATGCTAGTGATTGTGAGCCTTGTCAAGGCTGCTTGATCAGGTAATTCTGAAAATCTAATCTATTAGTGTACTCAGTACACATGTCAATTATTATAAAAATCATTATTCCCTTCACATAGGAGTTACAGGGTATAAAGCTCAGCAAGGCGAGAATTAGAATCTGTGACCTAGAGGCCACGTATGGCCCTCTAAGTCCTCTAAGTGTGGACCTTTGACTGAATCCAAACTTCATAGTATTTTCTATCTATTAGACTCCTATGGTCTAAGATTCCTGCCAACATCTAAGAAAAGGTGCTAACCTTTATGGAGAGAGGGGTGTTCCTTATCTGGGAGTTCCCCATACCTATGAAATTGTAGGACTTGTCCCTATCTCCTAAGTCTCTTGACTTAAGCAAGATGGACTTTGAGGGTCATCAGAATTAGTTCATAGTTCAAGCTAAATGGGAATTAAGTACAAAGAACCATATCTGGGGACACCATGATGTGAGAGGCGTTATAGAAAAAGGTCTGGGTTTGGAGTCAGGAGACTAGGGTCATAGTTTCAGCTCTGTTACTTGACTGTGTGATCCTACACTGGGCCTCATTTTGCTCATCTGTAAAATAGTGATAATTATACCTCATAGAGCTATTGTGAGAAAAAATTGCTTTATAAAGTTTTATAGCAATACGCCGTACTATTATTAACCCACAGAGAAAAAGGAAGTAAAATTCAGAGGCATAATAAGATGTCAAAGTTTGAAGGGACCTTAGTCCCATTCCCTCATTTTACAAATTTTACAAATTAGGCACTTACGGCCCAGACAGGGGATGTGATTTGCCTAAGGTGATACAGCAAAGCCAGGCCTAGAATCCAGGTCTTTTGACTCTGAGCTCAGCTCCTCTTTTTGTCCTCATACTACATGTTGGCTTCCATCTGTTTCTTTTGCCAGTGACTGACATCCACACACCAGCCCTGAGGAGCATGGGGATGGCTTGGTGGACACTCGTAATCTCATTGCAGCTCTGCCAGGAACAGATGCTGTGTTTGCTTTCCCCTCTTCTAACCACCTCCTCTCTTCCCCCAGGTAGTAGCTAGCTGACAGAGCTGATTTCCTGACTGGCACAAGCGATAGGGAACAGCTGCTTTTCTGGCAGCAGGTGCGTCTTGTCTTGGTGGCTTCCGCTGCGTAGTTCATTGTGCATGAAAGGCATGGCTGGCCTAACACATAGGCAGCCTGAGTAGGTAAGTGGCTGGCTATGGGGGGTGGAGAGGGGAAGACAAGGTGTTGAGAAGGGTGTGTGTGTGTGAGAAGGATAACGTACCATAGGATGTCAGAATTGGAAGGGTCTTGAAAATATTGGATTGTATGATTTAGAGCTGAAAAGTACCCTAAGGATGATCTGAATGACCCTAGATCAGAAGTATGCTGTCAAATGTTTAACAACCAGCTTTCTAAAAATATGCTTATGCCATACTTTGAAATTTAATTTGCATTATTAACATTTTCTCCATTACTTTCTTAAGTCCAAAAAATAATTAAAATAATAAATCAAGTCCTGGTTTTTAGCATTTGCTGATTTCTGAGGTGTAAATGTTCATATTGAAAATCTAACAAATCGGATGTCAGGAGCCAGATTAAGCTGGCTCATAAGGACAAGATAAAATGTCTGTTGAAGTAATGTTGCAAGTTAGACATCTCCCTGGAGGGAGGCCTCAAGTGTTGGATTCAAGGAATCTGTTCTTTGTCTTTTTATAATCAATATTGTTTTATCAACGATTCGACAAAGGTAGAGATGGCCTACTCATCACATTGCAGATGCTATTTATCTGGGAGGCACAGCTAACAAGTTGAATGATAGCATTTGAATACGACAATATCTGAACAGGCTAGAATAATCGGACTGCATGGAATTTAATGGGGATAAGTCTGAATTCCGATATTCCAAGTAAAAAAGAACCAAGGGCGCAAACATAACATGGAGAGAGACATGGGCAGAGGAGAGTCTGGGTTAGAGAGAGATCTGGGATTTTTAGTGGACTCAGTATGAATCAACAGCGTGTGTGTGTGTGTGTGTGTGTGTGTGTGTGAGAGAGAGAGAGAGAGAGAGAGAGAGAGAGAGAGAGAGAGAGAGAGAGAGAGAGAGAGAGAGAGTGTGAGAGACAGAGAGAGAGAGAGAGAGAGAGACAGAGAGAGTGTTACCTGGTGGCCACAATGGGTAATACTATCTTTGGCTTCATTAAAGAAAATGATAATTACCCTGGGCTTGCCCAGGTCTGGCCCCTGCTGGATTGCTGTGTCCAGTTCTGTGGTTACAACTTAGGGACAACATTGATAAGCTCTTCCATTGATAAGTGATAGAATGATGAGGAGAATGGAAACCATGCCATACACAGTGCTTAAATGAGCTGGAAGATATTTCACCTGGGGAAGAAAAGACTAAGGGGGCAGAGAATAGCTATCATTCAACATGTGAAGGACCGTGACATGGAAGAGGGATTAGACAGGGTTTTCCTGAGCACAAAGGATGGGACTAAGATCAAATGTGGGGACATAACAAGGAGGAAGAATTCTGTTCTGTGTAAGGAAGAATGGACGAGGCTGACTTGAGTAACTATACTTTGCAAACCTAGAGCTGGGGCACGTGATCTGACAAAGGGTATTTCTTTGGTATGGTCTTATAACAAAAACATACTTTATGTTCTTGAAATCAGGACTATCTGGGAAGGAATAAGAAGTATGTTTGCTATAGGGGTACCTCAGAAAGCAGTGATTTCTGATTCATTGGGAATCTTCCTTCAATGATGACAGGTGGACCACCCGTACAGGAAGGTGCAGAAGAGATTCCTGCTCAGAGATGAAGGAAGAAGAGTGATATAGTGGAGAGAATATTGAATTTGAAGTCAGAAGACCTGGGTTCAAACCTTAATGACTTCTATGGCCTTGAATAAGGAAGTCACCTAACGTCTCTGGGCTTCAGAGAAATAAAGGAGTTGAATAACTCTAACACTCTAATCTACTGTTTCCTTCCATTGCTACCCATTGCTGAGATTTTATAAGTTAGTTATATGTGTCTTTTTCTAAGATCAATAACATGTTAGTAAGAATCTTGTTATGGCACTATGTCATGATTAGGGCTCATCTGATTACAGAACTTTGTGCAAAATTTTGTCTCTGTTTTCTTCAGTTTGTACAAGTAGAATGACCCTATAGATGCTCTTTTGGGTTAATGCCCAGTTGCTCTTAATAGATAGTGTTTGAGAAAAAGGAGGGAAAAGAAGAGAACAGATAGTGAGATAAATGATTCAACAGTAACTGGCATCTGCAAAGTGCTATATATATAAAACTCAGAGTACATAGATCAGAAGGAAATCTGCAATTATGGCCACCTCGCCAAGCATTAGCCTGGGCTACTAGTGAGATGATACTGTAACTAGCAGCTAGGGGTCGGCAGACAGCCAGGAGCAGGTGATAAGCTGTCAGATCAGAGGATGCCTAAACCAGGGAAAGGGATTGGATATGGTCCCCGTGCTCAGACCTTCTATTGCTTTGATTGCCATTCTGCTAACCCCCCTGCCACCCGAGCCTTTAGGCATCATGGGGCAAAAGGAACACTGGATTATTCAGAGGACCTGCATTTGAGTTCCAGCTCTGCTACTCTTATATCCTTGTGATCTTGGAAAGATCATTTAACTTTTCTGAGACTCAGTTTCCTTATCTGTAAAAGGAGGATTATGAGACTTACATTATCTATCTCATAAGGTTGTGAGGGAAGCATTCTGGTTGGACTTAGAGTGCCGTATAAATGTGAACTACTCAGAGGCCTCCAATTTTTCCTCTCTAAAACGAGGGGTTGGGCTATGATATCTAAAGTTCCACAGGCTCTAAATCTTTATGATCTGAATGAAGTTTGTACCCAAAGGAAGTGTAACTGATTTAGGGAACAGGGAGTAAATAGACTGGCTGGGAAATAAGGCTGAAGAAGTAGACTAAAGTATCATTGTAAGGGGCCTAGAATGCCAGGCTAAGAATTTTGGACATAACAGAAGGCAATGACAGTGAAAAATGAAATGGCACAGTGAGAATACTTTCAGTAACTCTCAGTTCACATGCAACAAGATGGAGAATTAGACCTTCTCTCTGATCCTTATAACCTTCCAAACCTCTCCAAAACAGGAATTATGCACAAAGGATAAAGCAATTTTAGCTTTCTCAGATACCAAGTATGCTATCAAGGTAAATACCCAATGAACTAACAGCAGAAAAGTCTAATTCCTCAGCACCAACTCTCCCATCACCCACCACACTCCAGCAGGACTACAGAAGCTGAGCCACGGGCTTAATGCGGAGCTCAACGCAGCCCACCTCTCTCCCAGTGCCACAAGAAAACAAACGATAACAACAACAAACCCCAGAAGGCAGAAGCTTGTTCTGGCTGGGACTGTAACAGTGGTAGCATTCTGTGCTACAATAATACTCAGCTAGAAAGCTAAGAACAGAGGGCACTGGAGTCCCTGTGTCTCCACTGAGAGAAGGAATGTTTCTTTACCTGTTCTCCTAGAATGACACTGTTCATTCCAACTCGGAGTTTGATGGCTTTGCAGGGAGAAGTTTTGTTATTGATTACGTGTTATTGATTACATGACTGTCATTATTCTTCAGTCATCATTTCCTACAGTACAGTAATCACAATAATCTTACCCTACATTCATATCCCACTGTCTGTTCAGCCATTCAACAGGTGATAAGTTTGGTTTAATTTTTTGTCACCCCAAAGAGTGACACTATGGATATTTTTGTTTTTGTTTTTGCTTTTTTGGTGAGGCAGTTGGGGTTAAGTGACTTGCCCAGGGTCACACAGCTAGTGAATATTTTGTTACGTGTAAGACTTTTATTTCTTCCAAGATTCAGTTTCTTCATCTGTCTAAGAGGGCGATAATACTTGCCGTGTCTACCTGACAGGATTGTTGTGAGGATCAAATAAGAACCTCTCTGGGTCTCAGTTTCCTCATCTGTAAAATGAAGGGGTTGGACCAGATGACCTCCCTTCTAGCTCTGCATCTATGATCCTCTGATATGAAATCACTTTTGTGATTTGCACGAGTATTGCACAAATGTACAGTGTAGCGGAAATGTCCCTGGATTCAGATTCAGAGAATCTAGGTTTAAAATTCTGGCTCTACCTCTATAAACTCAGGTAAGTTATTTAACTTCTCTGGGCCTCATTTTCCTAACCTATAAATGAAGGAATTGGACTAAAATAGTCTCTAAAGTTACATCTATATATAAATCTTGTAATCCTTTTTATGATGATGATGATGATGCCCGAATAAGAACCTTCAATGCCTTTAACCTAAAGGAGTGAGTCTAAAACTGGAATTTCAGATACTATGACAAGACCACAAGAGAAAAATCTAGGGTTAGGACTCCCCCTTTTATAGCATGATCCTCTCTACCATCCTTTCTGCTACCTAGAAGGTACAGAACTGGTCTCTATGTTCCAGGCCTTTGGGGCACCAAGCCCATGACACAGCAATATTGTCTATGAAGGTGCAAGTTTGAGAACCTCATTGAGGTGTAGAACCCAGAGTTAGAATCCAGCTCCAGGCTCTGATCTGGGATCAAAGACTTAAAATCCTAGCATCTCAGAGCTGAAAGGCCCCTCAAAGGGCCTCTAGTCTTTCTGAACAGAGATAATTCTTTTTTTTTTGAGAATCATAAATTGGCATTTGTTATTTAACTTGAAGAACAGGTGATAAAGGGGGTGGGGGACACATTCAGAACAGAGAGTCCAAGGTGGAGCCCTAGGGGAGGGGGAGGAGGGAGGAGGCAGGGAAATGAGAGTCTCTCATCCGTGTCTGCTCTAGAGGGAGTTGATCCTGATTTCTGAGCCTTGGTCCAGTGCATGCAATGAAACACATGATAAGATGAGGTTCCAGGGGCTACAGGTTTAGGAAGACATCGAGGGGTGGCCAGAGTTACACATCCAACCGGGGGTGGGGGCTGGGATTCTCCTTGGATCAGCAGCACCACTTCCTTGTAGGAACTGGAGAATAGTGATGAGTTCCATCCCACTTATTTCAGCTCTTATGAAACATTCTTGTAGTTAAAGTCTTTGTGCTCAAGAATTCTTTCATCGCCTCTCTAACTTCTTGTACTTTGCTTCTAGTTTCTTTGAATACCCATCCAACGTGTAAGCTGCCTGCTCCAGAGCTGCTGCTTACTCTTCAATTAAAGTGATCTGATCCAGATAAGGCTGAAGTGCCGCATATTTCTGTTTTAAGTCCTTTAGGTTCCTATTTATGTTTACTGCAATATCTTTCATTTCTAGATACTTCAGGCTAGTCAGTTTGTTCATATTTTCCAGAAGTTTATAGTCTTCACTGGTGGCTGTCAGCTGGCCACCATTTTGGAGAACATGTCCTGGCACAGCCCTGTGATATCCATCTTGGCTGTCTCCATCACGGCATTCTTTAGTCCCGGGGAAGGGAGGAAGGAGAAAGGAGGGAAGGAAGGATGAGGATGGGGGGAAGAAGGGGAGGGAGGGGAGAGGAAAAGGAGAAGGGAGAAAAAGGCTGAACAGGGATAATTCTACAACATTCCCAACGAGTAGATATGCAGTCTTGTTGCAGTGTGAGAGGTTGAGATCCTTTAAAGACTGGAGTGAAAGACAATGTCGTCTGGAATGAATTCACAGACTCAAACATTCTTTGAGCCAAGTTGGCAAAGATTTATTGTTATGCTATACGATGGGCAAAGATTCTTAAGGAACCTGTGAGAAACTGAGAATGGTGCTGGGGTTTATATAGAAAAGAGCATGGGAAAAGAATGCCAGGGATACTAATTAGGTAATCTAAAGGTCCAGGTGTCTTTGGGAGCTATGAATGGGAAAATGTAGGGAACGTGAATATTTGTTTATCCTCAAACTTTCTTCCAATCCTTTCTGTTCTCCTTTCTCCTATCCTTAGTCTTTCTCCTCTCCTCTTACTGTCCTTTTTATGAAAACCTGTTTATCCAAAAGAAGATAATGGAGGGTGGGTGGAGCAGGAAGGGTAGAGAGGGAGGAAGGGAGAGGGGAGGTATTAAAATTACTATCATAGTATTAGAAGATTTGCAGCATGAAGGGTCTTTTGAGAAATCATCAGAAATCATTAGGAACTTTTGTACCCAGGATAAGAGGCAGAAAAGGCACCCTCAGCTGGAAGAAGAAAGACAAGATCCTAGGATACTGACATGAAAGTGGGAGGTGAGGAAAAGCTCACTCCTTTGGATCATCAGGTAGCTTCCAGCCTGAAACAATCCAACAAATATTTACTAAACACTTACCACTATGCTAAGCACTTCAATGACAAGATTGAAACAAACTATCCTTGTCTTCAAAGAATTTACATTATTCTAGAGAGATATGACATAGAAGCAAATAAGTATATATGAGATGATTTGAGGAGGAAGAGACATTTATTAATAGCCAAGGGCATCAAGAAAGGCTTCCTGAAGGAGGTGACACCTAAAGCAAACCATGAAGAAAGCCAGCGATTCCAAAAGGCAGAGATGAACAGTGAGTACATTCTAGGCATGGTGAGGAAAGCCTGGAAGGGAAGGCAAAGACAGAGATGGGATAGAGAATCCCTGAGTTCAGGGACAGAAACATAAATCAGTTTGCCTAAAACATGGAGTATGCAAAGGGAAAAAATATGAAAACAGCCTGGCAGAGTATACTAGAACAAAATCACTTTAATTTGAAGAGTTTTAAAAGCCAAGTCAAGGAATTTTTATTTTATTCTTGGGGCAATGGGCAGGACAAGGGACACAGAAGCTTCTCCAGATATACTGCAGAAAGATTATTTTGACAGCTGTGTAGAAAATGGACTAGGGAGGGGAAAGAGT